ATTTATTTTAGTGATTTTTTTGTTTTGTGTTATTGTACTCTTCACAATAAAATGTCAGCTTAAGAACTGACTATTCATTGGTAACCCTGTATTGATCGTATTGTTGTTTGGTATGGTAATCTCCTTTACACAGCATCACCATCACATGATTCCCAAACTCATAATCCAGTATTACGGTCATGATTCACTTAAATATTGCAAAAGAAAAGACAGAGAGTAAGAGACATCTCCTTGCGTCTGCATTCGTATCCAGCAGTGAGCCTATGAGACCTGTTTGAAAGCTCATTCATGACCTGCTGGAACTCTATTTTTTTACAATAATTGATAAAATATCTAAGCTTCAAACATTCAAGAAACTCTTTGGGAACACTCCCTTTCTTTCACAGAGAACAGAGCCTGCAAGAAGAGCTTTTCAGCATGTCAAGGAGGAAGCAGGAGCTATGTGCGAGCTGTAGCTGGGATTCCCTTTTGCTGGTGGTTGGCAACTCTCGTGTGCTGCAGACACTGCAGAACGCGCTAGCAGATGTGAAGCCAGGAGGTGCGTGAGAGGTACATACCGTGCTGTTGCTTGGAAATTACGCATGTTGTCCTTGCCAAGATGCAGATCAAACCTGTAGTTTTGTGAGCAGGGTTTGTATAATAATTTAAAGTTTCCTTAAAGTAATGGAGCATCTCTCATCTACTTGCTCACTACAAAGCCAAGACTTTTGCATTTGCAGCCACCAACAAGGCAGCCTGCTAAGCCCGTGGGAACACTGACAGGCTGAATTGCTCATACCAAGCACCTACATTTCCAGTAAGGCCACAAAGGGGAGATAATTGCCTGACTTTGGCACTGTGAAGAGCAACTTTGAGCCTACCTTTTCTCAACTGACTACAAAGGGAAGGTAGGTGGTCACCACAGAGAGCATTTCTATTCCTGCTCTCTGAGTTGGGGGTTGTTCAGTAGTAGGAAACTGTGGGCGTTTTAAGTGCGAAGTCAAAACCAAGCTGCACGTCTTGAGAGAAATCTGTCTTTCCCCTCTCTGCCACATTTGTAATACTAAGGCAGAAGCAGCACGTTGCTAAGTAAGTAGACAGCTGATGTAGCTGGAAGAAAACAGGCAACTTCTGGCATATAACCCTTTCTTCAGGTCTTTAACTCCTCAGTCAGATAATAGAGAACAACTAAAAAGACCTTTGAAAATGCTGTGGATACCAAATCTCCCAACTGCATCTCTCTTTCTTCTGCTTCTCCTGTGCTTCCCTGGCCGGAACGGTACGTACAACATAGAGACTCTTGCATTTCACAAGTTTCAATATTTTCTATCTATCTCCCTTCTCGCCCCCCGCCCTCAGTCTATTGTCTCAGACAGGATCCTGATAAATTCACCGTTAGCAAAAACAGGTGGAACTTTGAAAAAAATTCTCTGAAATTATAGAATGAGTTTTTAGGAAAAAAAAAGAAAAATTATTGTGATCAGAACTTCTCTTTTCTACACAGAAATTGCTCTCTGTAGAAAGAGTGGAAGCTGTTTTCCTGGTGGTTCAACATGAGCTGTATCCGTATTGTTAAGGCTGACAAGGGGAGCCCACTATGGGATAGAAATGAATATAGATATTTACTAGGGAGACAATTATTGAAGGTGTAATAAAACCTTACTAGAAATATCCATTGCTGAATGTTGTTGTAGATATTGAGAGTACAAGCTGGAGGCACACTTGGGGAAAAAGTAAAAATCTCTGAGGAGAACGTGCCTCCAAAAAAGATGCCTCCAAACAGCCCTTTTTTCCCCCATGACCAATGACAATAACTGGAAAGGATGGTGACTGGAGAAAAAAAATATTATCCATAAATTAGCATGTCTGAAAGGAAGATGTAGTGAAACTAGTGAGAATATTTGAGTGTTTTTGCCATTCTTTAGTTAGTGGGTGTTGAGGAGTCAAAACTGATTTCTGTAAATATAACTTTACTCTTGAACTTCTGCCCTGATCTTTTGGAGAAAACAATTGACAGGCTGCAGCTTCTTGTCATTAGCTCTGTGGATTCTTAGAGAGTGTAAGTGTGGGTTAGCTTAGAAGTACTGATTTTAGGCTGACGGAGATGAATTTCCTGGGCTTTCCTTCTCTGCTTGTAAAGGCTGAGTGCTCTGCGCTTCTCCGGCCTTCTCCATCACCCCGTTTCTCTGCTGCTTTGGAAGGTAATTACTGACAGCTCCTGGGTTGCCTTAATTCCTTCTGTAAGTGTTGTAGGAGGAATGTCCTTGTGTCTGGTCAGGATGGATTGACCTACTGTATCAGAATTCCCACGATCTGGTCTTTCTGTGTTTGACTTCTGTGTTTTGTCCCTTATTAAAATAAATTGTTTTAAGTGTGTAGGGATCCTTAATTGCTTGTCAACACTGAATAATTCTACCCTTTCTATACTATGCTTGTCCTAGATATGCAATACTCTCATTTTTCCTCCCTTGCTTTTAATGTAATTTCTTGTAGGCGTTTCCCATTTGATCCCTCTGTTCCTTGCTGTTCGTTGCATAAGCATTGAATGCTTGGTTTCTTTTGATATTGAGGTCATTAGAGAAATCAAAGGGTCTCATTTCATACCATAGTTTCTTAGTATAGGCTGGAGTTATACCTTCTGCAGTTCTGTTCCTAAAAGGCTACATTGTCCAGTTTCCTGATGTTGCTAACACCTCTTTTCTTAAATAAGAAAATAAAAGTAAAAGTGTAATATTCTTCCATTCTCTGCCATTTTCTCATACCTTTGAGTTTCAGATTTAGATCCTCAAATAGCGCCAATTATTGGGCTGAGTTCAATGAAGCTTGTATTTTGAGAATTAATAGGATCATACTGGGAATCTAGAGAGCAGACTAAATTTTTTGTATGAGTGACAGAAGCCGCTTTTTTTGCCAAAGCCTTTTAAGCTTTGGAGAGACATTGAGTTGCACAGGTCAATGGGCATGAAAGGCACTGCAGGTTTCAGGGCAGCCAAGAGAAGATACATACAGGATAGAAAGACCAAGATCGAGTCTTACAGAGCAGTTCTGTTAGTGGAGTAGTTGTTTTTGAAAACTACTTTGATATTAATAGATCAAGAAGAACTCAATTGCGTTTCTTATTTTTAGGTGGAGAAAATGAATACTCAACAGACATTATCAGTGTTTGGGAAGGAGACTCCGTCAACATAGCTTGCTCAATAGAAGGTTCAGAAGATGAAGTGGGAACATACTTGACAACTAGCATAAAGCCGCTCAATGTGATATATGTTTCCAAGCAGAATACTTCATATATCCTTCCTGCTTTGGCTAATCGCGTCACGTATTCAAAGAAAGGAAGGGATCTCAGGATAACTCTGCACAATGTACAGGAGTCTGATTCCAATATCTACCTATGCATTCAGTATGTAAAAAGCAATGACCGTCACAAAAAGCTGAATGGGAAGACAACCATAGTAATGGTCAAAGGTATTGTAATTCCAACTTTTGTCTCCTAAATTAAGAAATACAGATACATATTTTAAACCAAAGGTTGGAAGAAAGCAAAATGGGAGGGGAAGTCTGACAGAACTTTACCCGTATCTGCTCGTTTAATGTAGTGATTTGGAGGAAAGTGTGGGTCTGTTCTCTGAAAATATGAAGAAAACACGTTAGATAGAACAGTACCAAGAAGATGTAGGTGTTCTACATCATCAATTCATGACTAATTTAATCATAGCTTCAAGTTTTCACATGAGTCATAGGTTGCTGCAACAGTTTGGAAACAGTGAGGACCCATAGGTCTTTCCAAAACAATCACTCATCTCTTTATGAATACCTAGCAAAGCAGTGAGCTTTTCTTGGTTGTGATTTTTGCACATCTCTTTTGGTTTTACTATTTGCTCTGAAATGACAAATTGATAATAATTGGGAAGCTGGTGCTAGGCAGGGTTTGCTAGTCGGTCATCAGTGGATAAAGGGGTGTGGGTTTTTTTCTCTTCTTAACAGATGATGAATGGGCACAAGTGCTCCTTTTGCAGTGATTTCTGGTTAGGGGAAGAGTGTTTCTGTCTTTCTATTTTCTTTTCCCTTTTTTTTTTTAATATTAGAAAAGGGTTGACTCCACAGTATTCTTTGGCAGCTTCTTTCTCTATGTACCTACCCTTCTGATGAGACCATCTAACCTGAAACACTGAAACATCTTTGCCAGAAATTACAGAGTTTTCTTCCCTTCCTGTTCCCAAGGCATGTAAAACCTAATTGATTCCTGGGTCAGTAATAGTCATTTATAGCTATAAAAACTTATAATGTCCTTCCTTGGACTTCTCTTTTCAAACTTCTTGACTGTGTTTTCTCAAATGAATTCTATATTGTTGATGATGTTCTGTTTCTGAGTTATTTTATTAAAATACTGTACATCTCTTTTTGATTCTGATCCCCTTCTCTAAAAAGCTCGCAGCCTTCCCAGAATTATCTTTTGTGTAAATGTGGTAAATTCTGTCTTCGCTTTTTCATCCACGTGAATGATAATGTCAAAAGGAACAGGCAACATCCTCAGAGGAACTCAGTGAAATATCTTCCCAGCTGGAGAGCAAACTGCAAATAACTGCTTTTTGAAGACCATTTTCAACATTGATGGCACCCTCATTGTATGATTTCATCCAGACTGATAGTCCCCAGATCCTTCTATGGCTTAATCTCACTTGAGAAAGCAGGCTACAATCCATGCCTCATTGGCAAGCTGACGAAGCTGTATTCCCTTAGAAGAGTTGAGTATATGTGTTTTTTAGGTAGTTGGAGACCCTTTACAACCAGGTAAGCCTGTTAGGTTAGTCCGACTTTCAGATCCTGGGGCAGGAAAACATGCCAGGGTGTACTGAAATGTATCTTTCTTCTCAAGGCACGAGTAAAGGTAGCCTTTTAAAAAAGTAATTTTATCTAAATTTATGTGGTCTGTTCTTTCTGTCTTTGACCTCTGTATTTGCTCCCTAGTTAAAATGCACAGTGTTAAGTGTGTGATAGCTATTAATCTCTCTTGTTTTTAGCTAAAGCCGGTGTAGTTTTTGAACAGTCGCCACTCTACGTCAATCCTCAGCAAGGCCAGTCTATCAACATTACCTGTGTGTTGGAAAGCTCCCATGAAGATGAAGGGATCTACTTGCTCAAGACTTGCGTACAACCTGAAAGAGTGCTATATGTTTCAAGTCAGAATGCTTCAGCTATTTTTCCAGCTTTTGCTAATCGTTTGGAGTATTCAAAAGAGGAAAAGAAAATAGTGATAACTCTGCACAACCTAAGGAAAAATGACAGTGATGTGTATGTATGTGCTGGGGTGTTCAAAGGATCCTCTTCCCTCTCAGTGAGCAGAAGTGGCACCATGATGATGATTAAAGGTACTGTCTTTTTGTTTGTGTCATCATAAATAATGGCAGGCTTGTTGTAATACAAAAGATGAACTAAAAGCTTGAAGAGCTTTAGTCAGGACAGGCAAATCGTGAATCCACAGCTAGACTTCTTCCAGTACCTGGGAAAGTTTGGAGAGTGTGCTCAGACTCCTCTGCACCCTGTTGTTCTAGGACACAGAAACAGGCACTGTGTTTCTACCTGCCTTGGACAACCAGGGGGGAATTATAAAAGAGAAAACTTGCTATAATCCTGCATCAAAAAAAAAAAAAAAAATGGTCAAAATCAGACAACAAACACTTCAGCGTGTCTGTGAATATTTTGTCATTTTTAGGAAATGAATCAGTATTTTTAACATCAGTTCTTTGACCTCACTGTGACATAAATGTCTTTTAGAAACCATTCCCTATAGCAAGTCTTTGTGTTTAAAAAAAGGTCACACTGGGGAGTACGGAACAAGTCCTCAGGCATTTACTTAAAGTACCACAGATAATAGCAGAGATGATCTCACACACCCTTATTACACACTAAGCACACTGTGAGCATATGTTCCAAAGACAGGGTTTTTTCTTTTTCTGCAGGAAGGTGGTGTAACCATTTGCTAAGATGAAGAAAAAGCCAGCAATATAGTGCTTGATCTTGATCTTACTGGCGCATTTCAACCCTGTGCATTTGGCTTTGATGAGATCTTTGAGTAATTAAAATAAAGTTTACATAGGCCCTAAGAGTTGTAAAGGATCTGTCTGCATTCTGCAAAAAAGGCTGTGGTCTCATTCTATACCACTAACCATAACTGGTGCAATAACCCAGTAACACGAGTTGGGCGAATTGACAGCTGCACATCAAAGCAGCAGGGTGATTACCACATATTATGTTAGTCTGGTATGGATGAAGTGAGGTTTTAGAGAACTATAACCCTTTCCACTAGCACTATTCTGCTCGGTGTATACGCTTTGATCATAGTAGCCTCCTACTTCTGTCTGTACTGCTTGCAGCCTGACAACCCTAGCTGTTGTACAAATTCTACATACTCCTGGCCGAGCCCTCCGTGTTGCTGTCATACCGCAGTAAACCATTTTCTGTTTTCCTTATGAGTGTGCGGTCCTGCTTCTGATCAGTGGCGTGGAAGCTATCGCCTTTGTAGAGTGCTCCTCACTGGCCCTTCATATGCCACCTGCAGTCATCACCAGCCTCTAGCAGAGCACGGGGAATGCCAGTGAGAATACTAAAGGGATGACAAATGTGGCTGTGTAGCATGCTGTAGATACCTGATTTCTGACTGATTAGCAAACAATTTTTTTCATAACAGAAATAGAAATCTACCTCTTCATATTTACAATAATAACATGATTTCGCATGCAGAGGTGGAGCAGACCGCCTGCAGTAATAGCTCCTGGGCCATCTACGGACTTACTGTGGTGGTAGCACTGCTGTTTTCTGCTCTGATATGCTGCACCTTGTACCGCGTCAATGTAAGTATGATGTTCACATGCCAAAGCAAAGCAGAATCCCAGCTGAGTGAATAGGCGCCTTTGATAGTGTTTGTAAATAGTGACTGCCTTGAGCAAGCATTTGATAAACCAAAGGAATCATGGCTTTCCATTGTCTTCTCTTTCCGTTTGGTTAATGTCTCCCAGCTGCCAGCTCTTGGCAGTAAAAGCTGTGCCGCCTTAGCTTCTGTAACTCTTAGTAAATGAGGTGTTGTTTGCCTTTGGATAACAAACCTCAAGTAAGCCTCGCAGTCAACAATGCAGCCATGCGTTATATGTATTTCCCTGAACAAAGCACCTGACTATTCCATTCTGCTTCTTTTTTTTCTTTTTTGTCAGCTGGGAATGGGTCTGTATCTACCAATCTTGTAATACATGCAAGAGAATGTTTGTAGGGGGACACTAGGACAATAAAAAGTCACAAAATAGCCTAATGTCTGAAAGTAGCTGTAGGAGAACAATTTTGCCCTGCCCTGGAAAAACAGACGACCAAGAAATTTTTCCTTTATTTGGATTATATACATTCATATGCTGCAGAAAGTGCCCAGAAATCATTTGCCTCCGAGAGATCCTTCTTCTCCATAAAAATTACTCAAAATGAACAGCCTATGATTCATAGGCCAGGCTGCTAGCTTGTCCCTCTGCATATGACTTTAGTACTGCTAAAAACCAGTAGTATAACACCATTCAGGTGGAGCCAAGAGGCCCTGTGGGAACTGGTCTTTTATGTCATCAGTAACAAACTAAGGATAAGCATTATTTATGTTGGGGCCACAGTTACATCCAACTCTTGAAGGAAATTTTAGTGAAATTACATCAGACTGACAACAGAAAGTTAAACAAGTAGGTTAAATAATTAGTAGGACAATTTCCACCTAATCCTCCCTGGGTTATGAGAGGAGTTTTAGAAGTGCATTTCCACTTCAAGTAGATGGCCTCCTAAGGTGTAAATTGACTCCCTCCTTGGTCAGGGTCTTTTCAAGCTCTCTTCTGAATGGCGGTCTGCTTTGCTTTGCAGATGAAGAAATACTTTCAGAAAAGTAAACCAAATGCAGTATATGAAGATATGTCTTACAGTTCTAGACGTAGCACCTTGGTGAGAACCAACACTTACTCCATTCACAATTAAGCTTCTGCCAGCTGGGACCATTCGTGGACTGACCATTCCTTTCCAGATTTCTCCGAGAGCTGCCTTAGCAACCTGATGCAGTAGCTGAATGGAAAATACTGTCATCTGCCTTCTTCAGTGGAAAGAAAAACCTGCCTCGCTTCCAAAGCAGTTTCTGCTCTTTCAATCACTTGACCACTTGTGAAATATCTTTTTTTTTTTTTAACGTACAGAGAATGTAGAGAAATGCATGTACCCTGCCCACGTGTTTGCAATGCAGTGTGGAAAGTAGTATTTTTGGACTATACTTTTGTCTAGATGCAACGCATGGGCTCATTTATTTGATTGACAAATAACCCTTTCAGGTGAGCTGGAGTAGATGGAGAGGTCTGGTTCAGAACTTTGGTAAGTGCTCAGGAAGACCATAACAGGCCTGTTTAATAATATGCAGTGGATCCACATATGCATGGATTACAGTTCTCTTACGAAACCTTGCGGGTCTGTGCGAGAGCTCAGGTAGCTAAAACTACTCCAGAGTTAGAGCAAAGAAATCTCTTCTGAGGAGATTTCAGAAACCTTGTGGCAGAGTGCATTACAAGTGAAGCGCTAGGTACGTGTGGGCTTACCTATTCAAAGGTGATAACAGTCCCACAAAAATGCAATCAAGTCTAGATTTTAAATTGCAGCCTTTGCCAGAGATACTGGCATGACTGGTGTGGGTCTTGACGTGGTTGATGTGCAAAATGACTAGGCTTGGGACATGATGGCTTTGTGGCACAGCAGAAATATTCATGACGTGTGGGTGTTGTCTCAAACTCCAGATGTCTAAGGACTACACAGCAGAATGCATTTCTCCAGGTCAATGACTCTACACCATACAATACAAGGTGAACTAATCTGCAATGAAGCCAGTGCCTGCATTCCAGCCTGAGCACGGGTGAGTCTGATCAAAAATCACTCTTCACAAGGGAACTTGTCAAAAATTCACATCTGAAAAACTTAAAACTAAATTAGGTTTAGTAATGGCTTAGAACTGGTTGCTGTGATGAGCTGAACTCTCCTCTAACTCAGGAAGGGCTACAGCTTCCTCCAGGGTGTTTTGGTTTTGCAGAGCTGGGTCTGCTGTGGAAAGTCAACAATCTTGCATGCCCCGAGAAGATCAAATTGCCCTGTTATGAGGCAGGATTGACAGGGTTCCCTTGTGGTTTCTGGGGACAGGCTAAGACTAGAATTTTTCTTTATTGATGTATTTGTTTAGTTTTCTGAGGGATTAGGGCTGGTTTGCCATTAATGAGAGCACAGAGCTGGAGCAGAGCCAAGCAGAGGAGATCCTCCCTCTTTGGAGGTGAGCTCAGCCGAGCTCTCAGCTTGAGGAGCCACTCGGGAGAGGCTATTTCCCTTCCAGTATCACTCGTGAAATGCTGTGTGCCAGACTGGGGGACAGCTCTGCTTCCTTGGGTCGCTGGTGGAGGGACAGATTACCTGGTACGCAGTGCCGTGTCTGTTGGTTGCAGGCCCTGCGATCCTCACGGAGCTGTGCCTGAATAAAATCACGTTTGTGATCGGGGTTTTGTAGTTGCTCGACATCCCTTCCAACCCCTAACATTCTGTGATTCTGTGATATTTTTATGCATGCATTAAAGACTTTCATATATCTTGCAAATGAATGTTAGTTATTGAATGGACTGTTTCTTTGCGTGGTTTGTGCTTTTT